GAGAGAGAGAGAGAGAGAGAGAGAGAGAGAGAGAGAGAGAGAGAGATTATTTTACGGAGCGGGTTGTTCCAGCACGTGAGACATGCATAATTACTAATGTCCTGTCTTGTTGTGCGTATGCGTGAGTGCACCTAACCTTTGTAACGTCTACTGCCATTGTTAACGACCAAGAAAAATTTGTCCCTGCGAGATGAATGAAAATTGTCATTGTCATATGCGTGTGTTATCTGTGTGTGCATGTTCGTGAGTATATGTGCGTGTGTGTATAAAAACTATCCATAAAATCAAATCTCTATACACTCACCCGTGGAGAGACCGTCTCTTTAACTTCGTTGACAAGAAAAAAAGATCTTGTCAAGCCGCAACTTTTATAGATCTATAGCACAGTTTCTTTTTTTTCACTTTTGCATCTAGCAGTTTCTATTCTCCACTTTTATATATATAATCCACAGTTTCTTTTCTACACGTTTACATATACAGCACAGTCTCTTTTCTTCACGTTTACAGATACAGCACAGTCTCTTTTCTTCTCTTTTACATAATATACAGCACAGTTTCTAGTCTTCCTTAGCGTGGAATTATTGTTATATTCCCACAACAGTCAACAGATTTAATCAATTTGCATCACCTTTATATAAGTGATACATCTCCAAAACAGTTTATAGAGTCTAATCAGATCTGAAATCCTGGGAGTTTTTTTCACGTAAGATTAAGATACAGTTGGCAACTTGTACACAGTTTTCAGTACTTCCACGATCAACAAAAATGCAATAAATTTGAATCGTCTTTGCTCGCTTAACATACTCCCACAAAGGTAAAACAATCGAATCAATTTATATCACCTATATTCTCGTAACATACTTTCACAATAGAAGAAAAATCTAATCAGTTTGCATGACCTCTTCCCTCGTAAAGTACGACATGAAGATTTACTTCCAAAGAACCGGTAGTCCAATAATCTATTCCGAGTTGCTTCTCTTCCTTCATAAGCGAGATATGACTGTGGTGTTATGTAAAATTATGCACGTTCAGTTCAGTTTCTTCAAACAATCAACACAGCCGGAACTGCTCCAAAGCCGAGACCAAATGATAACACAGGCGATTGTGTTCGTAGGCCAAAGGCTATCCCACCCTGCCGTTTGTTGAAGGTACTGTGGTGTAGATTGTCGTTTGTTGAAGGTACTGCCTACTAGTCTGGTTGTTTAAGGTACTGTTTAGTAGTCTGTCGTTGCTTGAGGTACTGTTTAGTAGTCTGTCGTTGTTTAAGGTACTGTTTAGTAGTCTGTCGTTGTTTAAGGTACTGTTTAGTAGTCTGTCGTTGTTTAAGGTACTGTTTAGTAGT